TTTAGTCTGCCCATAATGCCATGGCATGATAGTGGCTCTCTTTGCACTGCAGTTCATTATTGTAACTACAGAATCTCAATGTAAAATATTGTATTGTATTGTATTGTCCCCTCGCATCTTTCACCAAGACCAAGATCTTCCAGATTCTTAAACAGAGTTGCATATCCCGTGGATCAATGGCAGCTAGCTATTAAAAGTGAATTACTCAGTCTTTTATGAACAGATCAAGGTTACTACGGATACTATAGTTTAGTATAAGTCTAAAATGCTGAGACTGAAACTCGATGTTCATTTTGCAATATACCCAGAGTGTGTTTTCTTCCATACATCATCATTACTTTATGTATCTGTGTAACACCGTCACTTTTTACCCGTCCTTGCTTCTCTTTGAAATACAGCTGTAATGTATCCCAGTACTCCAAAATTCTTGACATTATTTTACCTCTAATGAACCACAGTATGACAGTTTCATTCATTATGTGACATGGAGTTTGTGCCATGTCACGAGATGAATCTTGGATCAACTGGAATTCATAATTCCATTCCCTACCATGAAAAAAATAGCAGCATATGTCCCTCAGAAATGATTCCAGCGACGAGAGTAAATGGCTGCTGGTATTTCTGGAGCACAAAGGTGCTATATGACCCCTATGTACAAAGCGCATTACTCTGATTAAAATATAGCAATTATGAACGGCATCGATCTTTAATAGGTTATGCATCGCAAGAAATGGATGGAACGTTCCATGGGTTTAGGCTGTGTAGGTAAAATTTTGTTGGATTCTCTGCAGTAATTGCAAAATACCTCATATGGTCAGATTTAAATTGTTAGTACGGAGGTATTTTCCCTCAAAGGAAGAAATCTCTTTATGTTAAACTGTGCAAGTTAAACTGTGCTAGTTTTTTAGACAGTTTAATTTCTATGAAAAAATGGAGAATGTTTCTTCTGATCAGAAATAAGTCACAGTTCTTGGTTTTATAGGGTTAACCTAGGTTAAACATAATACACTTTTATAGGCCTATATCATCTGTGTGCCCTCAGCACCATTGTTAAAAATTTGCATATTATGTACACTAAGCTTACATAAAACTTACTTATTACTTAACTGTACTTACTTTTTTAAAAGCTATTCAGTCCTACTTAGAGAAAAGTTTGGATTGATTTTGGCCTGCGTAGGTCCCAGTTTGATTTTTTGAAAGAAATTATAAAAATTTAATTGTTATTATTATAATCAATGGGGGAGCGCTAAACCCGTAGGGTTATGCAGTGGAAAAAATTTAAATACTGCTTTTCATGAGATAATTTCTGAGTGTTGCATCTAATTAACTTCATAATTTTTATGCTGATAACTTCATAACGCAACATCTCAGCAGCTTAAAGCTTAATGTGCGGTTCGTTTGAGGATATTGGTTTCTGACAGAAAGAAATTAGATTTGGTCAGTGTATGTCCTAATTTACCATTTTATTGAAAAAAAAATGAATATTTATTTCCATTTGATAACTAGTAAATGCCTCATTGGATTCCCTTCAAATTCCTTGGGCTAATATTTAAGTGCGTTATCAACTTACGCTGCTCTCTGTACTATTCCAGTTCCGTGCATTAAGGCACAAGAGGCTGGGGCTGTGCAATACTGGGATACCTTCCCTTGGTCGAGTAACAACCCAAGTAACCTAGTGTAGGTAATATTATTAGCCAGTATGAAATTAATGAGGATTTCATTTCATACAAGAGGATTTGTTAGATAATGGAGGTCTAAATTAGACTATAATGATGATGATAATAATAATAATAATAATAATAATAATAATAATAATAATAGAAGAAGAAGGAGAAGAAGAAGAAGAAAAATAATAATAATAATAATATCTTTATTTCTACAAGTACATGTACAAGGTATACAGTCCTAGCTGACATCACTGACATACTACTATATAGAAAGCCACTTGTTATTCATAGCATTTCGGGCAAATTAGGTCATTTTTTTCCCAGAATGCGACTCACTGGGAGCGCTTAAAGTTCCTGAACCTGTATTCCCTGGAACGCAGGTGGGAGAGATACATGATTATATACACCTGGAAAATCCTAGAGGGACTAGTACCGAACTTGCACACGAAAATCACTCGCTACGAAAGCAAAAGACTTGGCAGACGATGCAACATCCCCCCAATGAAAAGCAGGGGTGACACTAGCACGTTAAGAGACAATACAATAAGTGTCAGGGGCCCGAGACTGTTCAACTGCCTCCCAGCATACATAAGGGGGATTACCATAGACCCCTGGCAGTCTTCAAGCTGGCACTGGACAACCACCTAAAGTCGGTACCTGACCAACCGGGCTGTGGCTCGTACGTTGAATTGCGTGCAGCCAGCAGAAACAGCCTGGTTGATCAGGCTCTGATCCACCAGGAGGCCTGGTCACAGACCGGGCCGCGGGGGCGTTGACCCCCGGAACTCTCTCCAGGTAAACTCCAGGCAAACACCAGTCGACTAACACCCAGGTACCCATTTTACTTATGGGAACCATAGACAACCGGTGTAAGGAAACACGCCCAATGTTTCTACCCTCTCCGAGACTCGAACCCGGACCCTCGCTGTGTGAAGCGAGAGCTTTAGCCACCAGGCCACGGGACCACGAATCACTGACAAACAGTGCCAGATTTCCCTATAGGTTTGGCAGGTTGAAGCCTAGAGCCTCAAAATTTAGGAGGCCTCCAGTCAGGGTGTATAATATTTTTAACACTGTCATAGGCCTCTCTTACTCATGTTGTCATAGCGCACTGTAGTCTCTAAACAACCCTTCAGTAATACTGCCTTAATCCAATAACTCATCACTAGCATTGATTTCTGTATTGATTTTGTCCTTCCAGGAAAGCTGTGAAGAGGATTAGTTGACTGAGGCCTCAGTCATTTGTACTCTGATGTTAATTAGAAGGGTGATACCAGGCTCCAAACTAACAGTCTTTTGCAGAAAATGGAAGGACTGGAATTTGTGTTTATGCTGCATATTGGACCCTTCTAATTAACAAGGTGAGCAAAGCCATTCAGAAATCAGAACTGTTACTGAGTACTTCTGCATATTTGTACAGTTCACTTCAGGATATTGAAGCATAATTAGAAATGGTTTTGAGGAGCTCGAGCAACAAGAAAAAGACACTTTCCAGAACTGTCACAAGGAGAAAGAGTAAGAAAATGGCAAGGGAATGAGGGAAGGGCACCTGGTCTTGATACCTTAGATGAAACTCTCTTCAAGAGATCAGTTTAGGATCAAGTCCTTTATTCCTATAGTAATCTGCAATTGAAGCCAATTTAAGAAGAGCTACTGTGTACAGTGATGTTGCAAGACATTCAGGAAGGTGTTGAACCGATGATGTTGACCTGAAACTTTCTGATGAACTTTTGCACTTTCACTTGTGATACAAAGCCATAAGCCTACAGAAGAGCAGTCACTGTCTCATACAGACCTTTATCAAATTATATACATGAAATAATTCAGATGGCCTTCCCTAACGTGGAATCAATCTTGCGGCTATTTCTTAACTTATGGTCACTAACTGCTCGGGAGGTCTTTTTCTAGTCTCAAAAGAATTAAAAATAAATTAAGGTCCACAATATCTCAAGAGAGGTTGACCGCACTGACCTTCTGTGCATTGAAAATGACAAACTTAGACAAACAAATTTTGATGAACTTTTGGATGATTTTGCTACGAGGAAGCCTAGAAAAAAAATCTTTTTTAGTCTTAGTGTATATGATGATTGTAGTTTCTTTATTTCTTAATATGTATTTTAAATAATATAACAGTAAACCTACAATTTCATTTTCCTAAAAATTCCTGCTTATTCCACAAAACGTTTACAACAGGCTTTTATCAATCACCACGGTATTTAACAATAACATCTTATGTCCTCTAGAGGAGGAATTATGAATTGTTGAATTTTAAACGCCCGTCATCATCCTCGGCTTCACTGAATTTTATTTAAAACACTTCCATCATCCTCTAGTGGTGATGATGAAGGATTGTGAGGGGTCTCACAAGTGGAATAGCCTAGTGATGATGGTGAGGGATTGTGAGGGGCCTCACAAGTAGAGTAGTCTAGTGATGATGGTGAGGGATTGTGAGGGGCCTCACAAGTAGAGTAGTCTAGTGATGATGGTGAGGGATTGTGAGGGGCCTCACAAGTGGAATAGTCTAGGGTCTCTCATTATCTAAATCTGGCACTGCTGACTAACGAGAACTATCCAGGTTTTTAATCTTACCTACCCACTTGAAAGACAGGGATATAATTTTTCATGCTTTTCTCTGAAATTTATTAAAACACGCTGTAATTTTTTTTTTAATAATTTTGACTTAATAAAGTGTAGACAAAGTTGGCTGACTAACCATGAACCAAGAAGAATTGTTAAAGAGTTGTCAAAAACGCTTTTTCTTATCATCTTTGTGAAAAGATTTAGTTTAGTATTTACAATTGAGGTTTATCTATGGAAAATATAGTTTTGTTCGTGCCGTACTATGCATTGTGTAAAAAAATCTTTGAGTATTTGATTAATTAGCATGTGCAGCCACCTGAGCTACTACAACATGTATACTTATCAACTAAAGAAGGTTGACTCACGAAATAGTAATAACATGATTGGAAACAAATCACAGAACAGGTGAGGTTTTAAGACTTATCTATCCTGGGTTCAAACCTTACCCGATGGTTTTATTCGAATAACTAAAGAAGGTTTTAACTGAACCTGAAATATTCAGATCTCTTTTACATGTGTTTCAAGTGTCTGTTCAACTAATTATATACTTTTCGTATAGTGGAATGTAAAGTTGTTAAAAGAGGCACCAAAATAATGCATACTGGACATAAAAAATATGCAAGTTATGTTAAAATAAACAAAGATTCCTGAAAGGAACACTGGAAGTTAAGTAGACAGTGTATTGAGGTAGTAAAATAATATTCTCACATATAGGGCGACTATATCTCACTAGCAACATCACAAAGCACAAACCTTGAAAAGACTTTCAGCAGATTTGCTCTTCTGTTTCAGGGTTACGAAGTCTTGGATGATATATGTGCCAAACTTTGAGCTCTTGTCAAACTGTACAGTTGTTTTCTCTGTAGTGAATGTAACAAGTTCCTCACTGACAGAGGAGAGCTGCACCAGAACACTACATTGCTGCACATCAAATGGGTAGTAGAAAACGTTAAAGTCACAGACGAAGCTGCCGCTGTAGTGTTCCCGCTGAATAATCACAGCTGAGGCTCCCATGTACGTTACATCTGTTGGCAAATATATTTTTTTCTTCCTCTTGAGTTTAGCACACACGCTTTCAAAGTATTTCATATATTTTACAACTAATTGTAGATGAAAGGGAATTTTTTTTTCAGATAAGTTCAATAGTCAGGGCAGAGTAAGAGGTGCAGGTAAATGATAGTAAAAATACATAAATGAAGTTATAAAGAAATAATTATAGACAATATTTTGCACACTAAGATACTGAATACAGAGGTAAAGAGAAGGTAGGTGTTTCTGATATGTGAAGCTTCTGTAGCTTCTAGATAGAGGTAATAGTGCTTCTCAATACATACCCTCGGCGTACACAGAGTTATATGTCTTTTCTATGTGCTCCCATCTGTATATATATATATATATATATAATATATATATATATATATATATATATATATATATATATATATATATATATATATATATATATATATATATATATATAGTAGGTTGGTAGACAGCAACCACCCAGGGAAGTACTACCGTCCTGTGGTAGTAGGTTGGTAGACAGCAACCACCCAGGGAAGTACTACCGTCCTGCCAGATGACTGTGAAACAGAAACCTGTAACTGTTTTGCATGATGGTAGGATTGCTGGTTTCTTTTTCTGTCTCATAAACACGCTAGATAACAGGGATATCTTGCTACTCCTACTTACACTTTGGTCACACTTCACAGACATGCACATGCATATATATATACATACATCTAGGTTTTTCTCCTTTTTCTAAATAGCTCTTGTTCTTCTCTATTTCTTCTATTGTCCATGGGGAAGTGGAAAAGAATCTTTCCTCCGTAAGCCATGCGTGTCGTATGAGGTGACTAAAATGCCGGGAGCAATGGGCTAGTAACCCCTTCTCCTGTAGACATTTACTAAAAAAGAAGAAGAGAAAAACTTTATAAAACTGGGATGCTTAAATGTGCGTGGATGTAGTGCGGATGACAAGAAACAGATGATTGCTGATGTTATGAATGAAAAGAAGTTGGATGTCCTGGCCCTAAGCGAAACAAAGCTGAAGGGGGTAGGGGAGTTTCGGTGGGGGGAAATAAATGGGATTAAATCTGGAGTATCTGAGAGAGTTAGAGCAAAGGAAGGGGTAGCAGTAATGTTGAATGATCAGTTATGGAAGGAGAAAAGAGAATATGAATGTGTAAATTCAAGAATTATGTGGATTAAAGTAAAGGTTGGATGCGAGAAGTGGGTCATAATAAGCGTGTATGCACCTGGAGAAGAGAGGAATGCAGAGGAGAGAGAGAGATTTTGGGAGATGTTAAGTGAATGTATAGGAGCCTTTGAACCAAGTGAGAGAGTAATTGTAGTAGGGGACCTGAATGCTAAAGTAGGAGAAACTTTTAGAGAGGGTGTGGTAGGTAAGTTTGGGGTGCCAGGTGTAAATGATAATGGGAGCCCTTTGATTGAACTTTGTATAGAAAGGGGTTTAGTTATAGGTAATACATATTTTAAGAAAAAGAGGATAAATAAGTATACAAGATATGATGTAGGGCGAAATGACAGTAGTTTGTTGGATTATGTATTGGTAGATAAAAGACTGTTGAGTAGACTTCAGGATGTACATGTTTATAGAGGGGCCACAGATATATCAGATCACTTTCTATTGTAGCTACATTGAGAGTTAAAGGTAGATGGGATACAAGGAGAATAGAAGCATCAGGGAAGAGAGAGGTGAAGGTTTATAAACTAAAAGAGGAGGCAGTTAGGGTAAGATATAAACAGCTATTGGAGGATAGATGGGCTAATGAGAGCATAGGCAATGGGGTCGAAGAGGTATGGGGTAGGTTTAAAAATGTAGTGTTAGAGTGTTCAGCAGAAGTTTGTGGTTACAGGAAAGTGGGTGTGGGAGGGAAGAGGAGCGATTGGTGGAATGATGATGTAAAGAGAGTAGTAAAGGAGAAAAAGTTAGCATATGAGAAGTTTTTACAAAGTAGAAGTGATGCAAGGAGGGAAGAGTATATGGAGAAAAAGAGAGAGGTTAAGAGAGTGGTGAAGCAATGTAAAAAGAGAGCAAATGAGAGAGTGGGTGAGATGTTATCAACAAATTTTGTTGAAAATAAGAAAAAGTTTAGGAGTGAGATTAACAAGTTAAGAAAGCCTAGAGAACAAATGGATTTGTCAGTTAAAAATAGGAGAGGAGAGTTATTAAATGGAGAGTTAGAGGTATTGGGAAGATGGAGGGAATATTTTGAGGAATTGTTAAATGTTGATGAAGATAGGGAAGCTGTGATTTCGTGTATAGGACAAGGAGGAATAACATCTTGTAGGAGTGAGGAAGAGCCAGTTGTGAGTGTGGGGGAAGTTCGTGAGGCAGTAGGTAAAATGAAAGGGGGTAAGGCAGCCGGGATTGATGGGATGAAAAATAGAAATGTTAAAAGCAGGTGGGGAATAGTTTTGGAGTGGTTGGTGCAATTATTTAATAAATGTATGGAAGAGGGTAAGGTGCCTAGGGATTGGCAGAGAGCATGCATAGTTCCTTTGTATAAAGGCAAAGGGGATAAAAGAGAGTGTAAAATTTATAGGGGGATAAGTCTGCTGAGTATACCTGGTAAAGTGTATGGTAGAGTTATTATTGAAAGAATTAAGAGTAAGACGGAGAATAGGATAGCAGATGAACAAGGAGGCTTTAGGAAAGGTAGGGGGTGTGTGGACCAGGTGTTTACAGTGAAACATATAAGTGAACAGTATTTAGATAAGGCTAAAGAGGTCTTTGTGGCATTTATGGATTTGGAAAAGGCGTATGACAGGGAGGATAGGGGGGCAATGTGGCAGATGTTGCAAGTGTATGGTGTAGGAGGTAGGTTACTGAAAGCAATGAAGAGTTTTTACGAGGATAGTGAGGCTCAAGTTAGAGTATGTAGGAAAGAGGGAAATTATTTCCCAGTAAAAGTAGGCCTTAGACAGCGATGTGTGATGTCGCCGTGGTTGTTTAATATATTTATAGATGGGGTTGTAAGAGAAGTGAATGCAAGGGTCTTGGCAAGAGGCGTTGAGTTAAAGGATAAGGAATCACACACAAAGTGGGAGTTGTCACAGCTGCTCTTTGCTGATGACACTGTGCTCTTGGGAGATTCTGAAGAGAAGTTACAGAGATTGGTGGATGAATTTGGTAGGGTGTGCAAAAGAAGAAAATTAAAGGTGAATACGGGAAAGAGTAAGGTTATGAGGATAACAAAAAGATTAGGTGATGAAAGATTGAATATCAGATTGGAGGGAGAGAGTATGGAGGATGTGAATGCATTCAGATATTTGGGAGTGGACGTGTCAGCGGATGGGTCTATGAAAGATGAGGTGAATCATAGAATTGATGAGGGGAAAAGAGTGAGTGGTGCACTTAGGAGTCTGTGGAGACAAAGAACTTTGTCCTTGGAGGCAAAGAGGGGAATGTATGAGAGTATAGTTTTACCAACGCTCTTATATGGGTGTGAAGCATGGGTGATGAATGTTGCAGCGAGGAGAAGGCTGGAGGCAGTGGAGATGTCATGTCTGAGGGCAATGTGTGGTGTGAATATAATGCAGAGAATTCGTAGTTTGGAAGTTAGGAGGAGGTGCGGGATTACCAAAACTGTTGTCCAGAGGGCTGAGGAAGGGTTGTTGAGGTGGTTCGGACATGTAGAGAGAATGGAGCGAAACAGAATGACTTCAAGAGTGTATCAGTCTGTAGTGGAAGGAAGGCGGGGTAGGGGTCGGCCTAGGAAAGGTTGCAGAGAGGGGGTAAAGGAGGTTTTGTGTGCGAGGGGCTTGGACTTCCAGCAGGCATGCGTGAGCGTGTTTGATAGGAGTGAATGGAGACAAATGTTTTTTAATACTTGACGTGCTGTTGGAGTGTGAGCAAAGTAACATTTATGAAGGGGTTCAGGGAAACCGGCAGGCCGGACTTGAGTCCTGGAGATGGGAAGTACAGTGCCTGCACTCTGAAGGAGGGTGTTAATGTTGCAGTTTAAAAACTGTAGTGTAAAGCACACTTCTGGCAAGACAGTGATGGAGTGAATGATGGTGAAAGTTTTTCTTTTTTCGGGCACCCTGCCTTGGTGGGAATCGGCCAGTGTGATAATAAAATATATATATATTATAATATATATATATATATATATATATATATATATATATATATATATATAATATATATATATATATATATATATATATATATATATATATATATATATATATATATATATGTCGTGCTGAATAGGCAGAACTTGCGATCTTGGCGTAAATAGCAACGCTCATCTTGCCATATAGGACAATCAAAAACTTGTGTATGCAATAATTTCGCCAAAATCATTCTGAACCTAACGAAAAAAATATATTTCACTGTGTTTGTTTAGTATTAAATTACTGTAAACAAATCTAAAATATATTTAGTTGGCTTAGGCTAAATTAAATTGCTCTTGTTATAATAAGGTTAGGTAAATTTTCTAAGATTCTTTTGGTGCAAAATTAATTTTTTTTACATTAACATTAATGAAAAATATATATCTTTAAACGTATAAGAGAAAATTTCAGAAGTGACTTAATTTTAAATGAGTTCTTGCTAATTGACCAGTTTTATATATTCGGCACGATATATATATATATATATATATATATATATATATATATATATATATATATATATATATATATATTATATATATATATATATATATATATATATATATATATATGTATGTATGTATGTATGTATGTATGTATATACATATATATATATATTTATATAATATATATATATAATATATATATAATATAAATATATATATATATATATATATATATATATATATATATATATATATATATATATATATATATATATATATATATGCAAAACAACCACTCTGAAAGAATAGAGAAATTCCAAGCGCTTTCGTGACTACTCACATTATCAAGGAACTATGAAAGTAAAGCATCCAAGGAAGCTATATAAGGGGTCTGGCCAACACCTCACTATCAGATCCCACAACTGTTAAACACC